GGCCACATATCTTTACCGGGTCCACACTGTGTCTGCGCTTGAGAGCGTCTGCCTCTGTGTTTCTCTGCAGATCAGCGTGACTGTCAGTAGACTGTACAGAAGAGGCAGAGTGGGAGATTGTCCACTAGTTAATTGATCTCAGATACTTACTTCATTACCTCATAGCGTCAAATACATACCTCATCAAATACACCCAGACCTGTGACTAGCAAACACAATGGTTTGGATTGTTTACCTAAGCAGTTCCATCCCTAATAAAAACACAAGATAAAGGGGTATTACAATAAAAGGAGAATAATATTATAAGGTATTATTATTTAAGAGGAAATAGTGGCTTTTTGGGGACTATATTAAGTGGCACATTAATCCACATTTGGTGCTTTAGTTTAGTTTGTTGCTGCAGGATGGTTTGTGTATAAACTACAGTGTGTGTGTTCATGGTAATGAAGGAACCCAGTACAGTGTGGCTGTTTAATAGTTTTTGGACAACAATGGAGCTTTATGGCACAGAAGAATAAGATAACAGGCTTTGTATACACACAAAAAAACATGTTAGGATAAATTCATCACAGGTTTGGCTCTGCACATAGGATTTGTTGACAAGAAGATAAATATAGAATATCACCAGACTTATACTCTAATGTGTACTGCCAGCATTTTGAAGGTGTTAGCCTGGACTGTAAAAGCAGGTATGAGAAAAAAAGGGAGCGCTATATTGCTCTTTTTAAGAAAAACAAGATAGTAAGCAAATACAGAATATTTTAACCTTTAATGCTGTTCCTGTTGCAGAGGCTGGAGAGGATTATGTCACTGAGTAGAACATGCAGGGCGACTCTTTTTGCTACTAATTATATCTACTTTACAGTATATGTGACTGGCACAGAAGCAGCATGTTCCTGTTTGTGTGAGAAGTTGTAAACAGCTCGTAGTCCACGCTCCAACAGAAGACGCTGGGTGCCAACAGCAGCACGCCTGGCACCCCCTCCCCCCACCCCCTTCATCTCTCTGTCCAATTACTGCCACACCTGACAGACTGCTATAATTGATTGTGCTGAAGGAATTAAGGCGACTGCCTCTGATGCGCTAGGTGCTTAAGTTCACGTCCTCAGATGCATTAATATGGAAATCCCCGTAAAGTAAATGATATTTGTCCTCCTTTTTATGCAAATGTTTCTGAACCGTGACAGTTATTACTTTGATGTTGTTGCTTGGAAGAGCTTTGGTTTGGACTATGCTTTCTTGGCCAGGTGTACTGCTACCAATTTTGCACTGCGTCCAAGATAAAGTCCCGCTAACCTTTATTACAGAGGCCTTTAATGTTGCTCTGTTGTAGGGCTTCTTCTTCATGGTTTGATATTTAAGGGGTGGTCTACCTAAGCTTACATAAAGCATGCCTTTTATAATTAGGTGCTTGAATATGATCATAATGTGCAGTTTTTATAGGGTTGTTGATGACAGCTACCACTGGAGATTTAAAGGTCCAGTGTGTAACATTTAGGAGGATCTATGGCTTTCACCATGTTGACCCACCGTGTTTCTACAGTAGCCCAGAATGGACAAACAAAACACTGGCACTAGATAGGGCTGAGTTTCAAAACCACCGTAGTCTTTCCTTTGTGCTTAGAAGGGGAGGGTAAAGCGAGGAAGTTGTATTCTGCAACTACACCACTAGATGTCACTTAATCCTACACACTGGACCTTTAAGGCAGTGGTGACATCTTATATGGATATTTCATATTATATTTAATGTATAACAATGACAGTAGACACAACTGATAACCTAACAGTACAATGAATCCAAACAGTGAAAACAGCTGCAGGAAGTTTATGGAAAACAAGCAAATGGGATAAAGTCTAGATTATTCCCTGTGAATATTGCATCAGAGACTTTTCCTGATATTTTAGGAACTTTTTATAAAATTCTCTGTCTTTATTGTTATTTTTTAAACAATCATACAGTACATACAACCTAAACTATCTAAACCTAAAGGAAAAAAAACAATGTACTTAAGCTTTCTTTACAGAAGTGAACCAAATGCTGAAATATATGCCTACTGTGCATATTTTTTAAGTTTTCTTACACCCCTTAAAATCAAGAAGGCCTTGTGGCCCCCCCGAACCTTTGGCAACTCCTAGTGGGGGTCCCATCCCCCAGGTTGCAAACCACTGCTCTGAGGCCCTGCCAAGCTGCCAGACATACCCTTCTTTAACGCTGCACTCATCATATTTTCTACCTGCAGTTCCCTTAGCTCAACATAGGGCTGTTACGTGAGGGAATTTCCGCTGCAGTGATTTAG